ACTTAAACAAGGCAGCCTAATTGCAGAACAACCAGATAAAAAGTAGGAATGCAAAACAGGTACACAGGTACAGCACCTTTTACATTCACCGGCATTGTCCGAGAACCCGTCTTGTGTCTCAACACATTGACACGGCTTCCGTTTCCACCCAAACAAGATCAAGTTCCCTCACATCATACCGTCCACTTTCCCACGGACGATAACGAGCCCCCTTTCATCTACCGCCCCCTCCCCCTCTACCCCTCCCCCGCGCGTCCTCTGCAATCAGGCGCGGCGACCGCCCGCCGGTCGGCGTGTAAAAATTGGACCACTCGGCCGCACAATGGTGGTCATTAGCGACCACGACGCCGCGGATACTCCCTGATGACCAGCACGCGGCAGGACAACAACCGTCGTCAGGGCAGCCATCGGGGTCGGCTGAGTTGAGCCCTTTGTCCCTGCCCGGCAATCACCAATGCCGTGAGCTCTACCACGCCGGGTGGATAAAAAACGTAAGGCGTGGACAAAGACGACGCCTCTGCACGCGCGGAGGTCGTGGCCGACCTGGGAAGGTCGCGGTTGAAGGGTGGGACGGCCACGACGCTCTGCAATCTGTGAGGTCACTGGCTGTCCTGGAGTTTCATGACGTGATATGACCTGCGTTGCGGTAGTCCTCGTTATATAGGAGTATGCAGTAAAACACCGGAGGTCAACAGCATAAGCTCTTCAGCATAAGGAAATTGCTCATCATTTGCAATATGCATAGAGCACAGTTATTCATGAATATTTAAACCACACAAACCCAGAAGCTGAGTCGGTGACCTCACTGAAAACAGTCACCGGTCACCTCTCGCCGCCGCCCCGGGTAAACAATGACAGAGTCGTGAGCGGGGCGGTGCTGCCGGCCGGCAATTAAAGCCGGCTCGGCGGTACGGCGGCTCTAAATCAGCCGGCGCGCCGATGGCACACGGTCGGCCGGGAGGCGGGAGGGGCGGGCCGGCCGCCCTGCCGCTCAGCGGCCGGCGCGCAGTCGTGACCGGGCCGTGTCGGAGAATGGCCTGTTTGCGCCCGAGCAGGCGCCACTGCCGAGCTGCACGGCTCACAATGACCGCCAGCGCCGGCCCCGGCTCCGATTTACCGGTCTGTTTTGCTGTCCAAACACGGCCGCAATGGGCCCCCGGCGAGGCCGTCTCAGGTGCTCTGTCTCACCGCGCCCTGCCGAGACGGCCGATTTCAGTGACGGTACGAGCGATAATGGGCGTGAGCTCAGCGAGCACGATGGCTTCGGATTTTGTTTTTGTTTTTTACCTGCAGTCTTAGATTGATAGTCTCAAGTTTTGCTATGGAATAAAATAGCATACATGGGAATTTGAGCAAAAATAAGCAGAAACTGAAAGGCCAACGCACTTAAAATTGTCGAAGAAACTACCAAAAGCGCGCATCATCGCACCGTTCTAGTTCATTGGACCACAGAATGACTTGCATGATCCGGCAGCCTTGTCCACCTCCACCTGCCAGCGGTATCATGACGTTATCCGGCCACTCACCCCATCCACGACACACAACGGCTGCACCTATGACCGCGGACAGAATGGAATGTGTGCGCCGCACTGAGTACTCCCACCTGTGACCTGCCGGGTCAGCGGCTGTCCACGCTGTGCTGAGGCCCCAGCCGTGACGGAGTTCGGACGCTCAGTGCAGGCCCTCAGGGTAATCTGGTACTCTCTGGCGTGATGAGGAGCATTATTGTTGCATGCTGAAAGCCCATTGTCCAGCGCTTTGTAACCGGGCATTACGGCTATTGCTGCCTTCAGCCTAAACAACTAGTTCGAAATGCGCCGTGCCCCGAATTGATTGCCCGTATTTCGCCCCATCACCCCATTCATTACAGGGCGGGCATTCGCACAATGACACTGCCGGAGCAGCCTCAGTAGCCGACGGATAGCGCCGCAGTTCCCCGAACGACTCCTAAATACCGGGCCAATCACCTCCTCTCGGCACCTCGGTGCGTGCGAGAGGCCGATATCGGTGCGGGAGAGGTCCTCCATACCAGGAACGTCGCCACGCACCTCGGTCATCCCTCCTCTGCCGGCGGACTCAGGCGCGCGGAGCGTGTGACCGTAGCGGCGAGCCGCGCCCTGCAGTGGTCATGACCTGTGCGCCGACACCTGGGCAGGCGGACCGGCGCTCTCGGCGGCCTGATCGCCGGCTACGCGCCGACCTCTGACCTGGGGCGGCCCAGCTGGCTGCAATCGGCCCCGAGAGGACCGTGCGCGCTGCGTGCGGGCCGCTGCCGCCGGGCTCGGCCGCGCTGCCGAGGTCTCCGAGCAGGATCCCCAGTGCGTGGGATCGCTCGGGGCAGTGCATAAGTGGTGGGCAGTGTTGGTATTGTGGGTGAGCCACCCATGATTTGTAGAGAGTGAGCTATCCTGCCGCCGGTATGTCACGCAATGCCACACAAAGCGTTTCAATAGTCGAACAAAATCAGCAATGATGAATGTCGGACGAATCTCATCAGCATTCTGGATCATGCTCAACTTACTGCGACGGTCCAGCAGAGCCTTATATAAGTGCTAAAATGCATACAAAATGTCAACTGTTTCTAATATCCCCCTGTAAACCAGGCGTCGTCATTGCCCTGAGATCCTCTATCTATCTACCAGCACGGGAGGTAGCTGAATTTTTATTGATGAATTTCAAGAGGCTGGTTGCCGTTTATAGTGCCAGGAATTGCTATCTTGACATCAGACAAATCCTTCTGGTATTAAAAAGGCGTCAACACCATCATTGTCAAAGCCACACGTACTTACTTGCCTGGCAATCAGACATAACCGATTCATACTAAAGGCGTATTAGGATGACTGTGGTCAAATGATCCTCATGTACTTTCAATCAAATGTGCAAATAAGGACATTTTATCTGTAATTACTGCAGCCCATTACAATCTTGCAATCAGTTTCTACGGAAAAGCCATGAAATGTATTTATAACAGACTTCCCAGAGTCTTTAAGGAGGCTGTGCAATTCTTATCGAGCTGCAGCACTGAAAAAGAAATTACGTCTTTGACATAAGTTGCAACTTGCGTCAAAGCTCAAATAAACATAGCTCAGCTTGTTGAATATGTATAGTTTTAATCGCACTTGAGGCAGAATGGCGGTCTTATTAAAACAGTAACCAATGAGGAGATATAGCTAAAAAAGATCCAAGACAATGACTCCCCCGTCACCATAGTACAGGCGGCATGTTCATCTGTTATGATCTTACAAACAGCATTCAAGTGTGCTGCACTTTCAGGGTATCATTCATTTTAATCACGTGACAGCGAAGTCAGAGGTGTGGCAATTTATCACAGCACTACCGGCACGTGGACGTTTTTCGCACCTGACGGTGGATGAGCATGGAATGATGAGTGTTTGATGAAGTTATTATGCAAAGCAGATGGACACTATTCGGCATACGTGTCGAGCCATAAGGCCAGTCTCGTGACCGTCCTTGCCTTTGATGTGAGGATATGACCAAGCAACTCGTGTAAATTTTGTCATGTGCTGGCATTTTGGTACGAACAATCCACAATAAAATCACTTAGCTGACCAAAGTGGGTGGTGTTGGAAAAAAACTGTGTTCGCATTCAACGTACTATTTACATGTATCCCATCATCTATCCACTATCTTTCAGTACACGATTCGGCAGGGGCGTTTGCAGAATCACACTCGAATGTGTTCCCAACAAATATCGCCAATCGTTCAGAACCTTTGAGGAATGCAGCCGACATCTCTCGCGGGTGGGTGCACCAGAGGAATGAGCAGCAGCACCCCGTGGGTGAGCGGATTACCGCATACCACAGCCGCCACATCTGCGGAAAGGAGGCGCCCCCGGCGCACATCATCCGGCGGGAGACGGCCGCGGCCTTCTGAAGGATGCCGACCGGAGAGTTGGAATGGAAGGTGAGCCCAGGCTTGTTTTAGAAGGTATCTGAGTGCACTGATATCCAACGAGGCATCTGCATTCATAGAACTCAAATGCATTAACGAGAGTAAGTAAATAGATAACTCAAAACTCATACATAACTACATGAGTAAAAGTAGAATATTCATCAATTATCAAGTTAATCTTAGAGTATTCAATAACCGTCAATTAACCATTGGATATCCAAATCTGAGAAGTTCATGATGTGGATGTGCTACCGCGAGCCAGATATACCATTGTGTCTCATAACTCGATACCGCTGGCCGCCTATACTCCGAGGAGCTCAGGTGATCGGTGATACCAATGATCGATGCAGCGCGCGCACCATTTGCCGCATTAATTGCACACGGAGTATGATATGTGGCTCATTAACGACTTTGATGTCTACCGACCGGTACAAAAAGCCCCCATAAAGACGGCGAATTTAATTAGACCTCCGGGGCCGTAAGGTCAGGCATCCAGCAGGCTTATCAATTCGGTACTCAGGCGCAGAGGGTCGAGACACACGCGTAATGCGTGGCAAACGATGGCTGTTTCGAACAAGGTTCGCACCTTCGATACTTTGTAGGTGATAGATGAACAGAAAACACGCACAGAGAGCACTCGAGGTACGCTAATTGATAGTTCGTTTCGAGAAGCTTGCCATATATCACGGTACTTGTTTTATATCGTTCAAAGAACGCAAAACAACTTGCCTGATGCTATGTTCACACGGATGTTTTAGAAGCACAAGTGGTAATTAACGCTCATCTGATATTGAACTCGATGCATATTGATGCAAGGTATGACTGCCCTTTATAAAACGACCGTGTCATTTGGAACGCATTGGTCAGGAAACGATAATCCCTCATGCACTTCTTCTGAGACATTAATCCTATCTGCCATCCTTCTCTTAATGACTGCATCAATAAGGAATCACTCCCGGACATTAATTAAAATCACCATTCCGACCGACTGATTCCGATCGCGGCCGTCCACTCTCGCTGGGGGCGCCGTCAGTTCCCGACTCGGCCGGTAGATGTCTCTAGCTGCGCGGCCGGCCGGTCGGCAGTCGGACCGGCCGCCGCTGTCGGTCCGGTCCCAGTTTCAGTTTACGTCCGGCCACCTGCAGAGGCAGGTGTGGGTGCTCGCGCGCGCTCAGTTGTGACCGAACACCGGCCCGTCAGGTGTGCGCACGAGCCGTGAAGTGCGCTCAGTTTTCCCAGTGGCGTCCCGACCCCCACCGAGGAACGGCGCGCGTCGCTTCGTGTGCATCGTGCATCCCAGCCAGGCATCGTGTGTAAAACACCATGCCTGTGATCGTCGCGGTCTTCGCGGCTCTCGTCTGCTTGCAAGGTAAGACAAATGGCCCTCCCGAGTCGCTGCCACCACAAATCGACCGTGAACTGTCGTGCTCGCCCCGTCCCATCATCCTCTTTGACCGCTGCTATAAATGTCGCCACGGTCTGTCGTCTCAATGCGCTCCGAAATTGGGGTGGGCGGGATCGCGATCATCGTGTTGACCCCCGCCGCGAGCGACGACGATACAGCTCGTAATGATGGCCGCTCACGACGTGGGGAGGTCGTAATTCGCGCCCGGGAATCGACAGGATATGTTTATTGTGCTCCCCGCCGTGGAGAGGGTGCGCAAACTGTCGTAATTCTTTGGTCAAGGGGAGCGCCGGCGCCGCGCGGTCACGGCGCCTGCAGAGAGCCTGGTACTGTCACTGTAGGTAGAGACGGGTTACGAGGGGCCATCAGTGGTCGTGAAAAGCCCATTTCACATTGACCGCGGAGCTACGCGGCTGGGGATGTGGTTAAACAGGTTCGCTTCTGCGCAACGCTGCCGGTTCAATGTAGCCAGTGTCGTTGGTTCATCAAACCGCCAGACCAAACCAGTGAAAGTCACAACCGGCTTGCTGCTTTCTGCGATAAAAATGAGACATCCGTGTTGAGCAATTATGTGTTATATGATAGTGTAATTCTTTCCTTGAGTCTAACGGGCAACGACCTGCCATATCACTCCTTAGAAGAAAGAAGTGACTAGGTAAGCTAGAAATCCTTGCCATTTTCGATAATGAAGTGTACGCAAAACGACACACTCATATGCAGACATTTCATACAAATTTCCTTCGATATGTGATAATGAAACATCATCTATTGCCATGCCTATTTTGTAAAATAATCACAGGTATCGCCAACCAGCGACCATTCGCGCTCATTTGCGACCTGCCATGCGTGGTGATAGCTTCCTGTGGCGAGTTGAAGTTTCCGGTGATATTTACATGCAACGCATCGCAGTCTTCACTAACTACACGCGTACAAACATCAATTACAGGCGACGAATAGGGGTTTTATGTGATGATATGAGCCGTAAACACGGAAATTTGATACATTGTTCTGACGGATCATCTGTTATGAATCACTGTCGCTGAAGGGGAATGTTTTGAGGCAATGATTGTCCCCGAATTAATTCGTGGGCTTACACCAGGCTTGCTCTACTTTATGGCTCGTTGACCAGGATCACAGATACCAACTGCTATGAACAGGATTACATGGTTCCACAAAAATTGCGATGCTTCCCTTTATAAAATACCGCTATTTTGTCTAGAAAAAAAAATGATCATGCAGCTCACAACTCTGAGAAACTATTTCTTGCAGTGCTCGAATGAAGCTGCTCGGGTACACCCACAACCGAAGGACATATCTCTCTGCTTGAGGAAATAATGAAATTAAAATCACGATCGGAAGGCGACACTACGGATTTATAGTTGGCAGATGGCGGTGTAGCTGTGCAGTATGAAAGCACCGTGCAGGCAGCGCCACCCTAAAACGGCACCCACCGCCACTGGACATGGATTCACCCCTGACATCTCGACTGAATAAGCCGCCATTTAACGAACGACCTCCACTGTGCGTCACTTATACCGCGCTATGTCACGCGTCCCACCACCGTATAATCCCACCCGAGTACTCATGGCGCTACTGGAGAGACCCATCACCCGCCCAGAGGGAGGGGACCCCTCGACCTGGTGACCTCGCAGCCTCCGCAGACCGGTTCTGCGCGCGACATGGCGACACGCTGCGAACGCACGCCAGTCGCCCATCATTCGCGACAGGCCAATCACTAAATGTCATCGCACCGGACCGGTGCACCCGATATCAGCGGGGGCTCGGTTTCATCCCTCCTGGACGAGTGATGTCCGTAGTTCATGGCTCATGGCTGCGCTGTACTCAGGCGCAGTTACCTGTGCAGCTTCTCGGTGCATTACCGGCGGGTTTCTGCTGATATCTTTCGATCGCAGGAGCAAACCACAGGCGCATAAATTGAAGTGGAAAGGCCACGGGAAGGAGACTGCCCTAAATAAGCTAATAATTTTCTTCAAAATAACAAAGAGTGGAATTAAAATGTAATGTTGCAAACAATTGTCTACATGTTAAGTTATCTCCATTATTATCGTGGAAGGTAACTACGCGAGAAAATTGTACTCTCCTCTATTTACGCCTAGTTTTGCAGCGTTCCCCAGCTCTACCATGATAGATACGCACATGCTCCCCTTCATCACATTGCCGGGTCGTTCGCACGGGTTTATACCGCCCAAACATCTCTGGCCAGCCGATCACCGGGACGTTTAGAGTCCATATCTCATCGGGCCTCGTCAGGGCCGGAGTGGTCATCAGGGGCCGGTCCGGCTGGGCTCCCTGCGCCGGCCGCTGATGACTAGAGCCCGAGGGGCGCGCACTCCACCCACGGACCCTCTGGCGGCGTCCGACCGGGCCGGCGCCTGACCTCGAGATCACAGCCGCCGACGGAGGTGGTGCCCTGCCATGAGCGTGGCTCCTCTGCAGCGTATGTTGTACTGGGCGGCGGCCGACGCCGCGGCAGCGGGAGGCTGACAGGGGGGAGGGGAGGGGCGGCGTCACCGCACGGCCGCCGGGCTGCCGACCTGCAGTGGAGCGCAATTTATCGCACGACCCTCGTGCCGCGGCGATCGGCCGCCTGAGATGGTATCAGGGACCGACCGGGCTGTGCCGGCGGCGTGCCCCACCGCGCCGCGGCCAGAGAGCGTGCCGTTCCTCGGAGCGGGCTCCGGCCACTCGACAGTGCGTATTGGTCTGCAATCGACAGCGTTTGATGAGCGGGAGAAAAGATGGGGGCGAGTGCGCCGGGTAATTACCGGTTGTAACCGCCTGTATCGAAGCTTCCAGTGTGTTTTCAGCGGAAACACACTCGTAGCTGGGTGGATGATGTCTTGCATAAAAGAGCGTAGCCCTAGTTTTTACTGAGAAATACTGATTGAGCAGCTGCAAGCGGTTCAGCAGTAAATGCTCCGTAAATCAAGAAGATCATATTGCAAAATTATAAGGTCCGATGATCAGTTGAATTACGGTACAAGGTATGATTTATGAGATAGATTAATTACTATTTGGGTTTTGCTACGTAGAACATGCAACAAATTGAATAACATCACATGCCAAGCTGGCAAGTCTTCCTATCGTTATCCAAAATTTATTGTAACCGGATCCAACCAGTATATCTGAACAATTTACCCTTTCGTCAGGCTCCTTTCTATCCCCTGAGTACGGAGCTATCGGAAAACAAATTACACTTTGCACAGTTATGAATTAACACTTGTTATGTTTCATAGTAAGCAGCATAAAGCCATCAACATGGGTATCGGATTAAAAGGATAAATTGCCGGCAACAGTCAATTCCTCAATGATTGCTGAACGCTACTATCTTGATCAAACTATGATAAGATCGCCAGCCTGGCCAGCGTTTTTCCTAGTCTGTCCCATCGTGCAGGAAAATGTTCAAGTAACGACGATACACCTGTACGGGTTACCTCATACACAATAGAGAGAAAGTCAAAGTGAAAAGACGAGTCGTGTGGTGGACGACGCGATCGGCGTTAGGAGGTGCAACAACACAGCTGACAATACCTGCAGGTGGCAAAAGAATCGCGCAATGGACGAGCACGGCGGAAACCAACCAGTTGTACTTTCGAACGATGAAATCTTGTCACCTTTACATTGACAACCACATGAATTGTATGATCTAATCTGGGGTCTTCGCCGAATCACGACTTACTTTTGATGAACATCATTATATTTTCGATTCATTTCCGTGTTGTATTCAATGCATTTTTTTGATGAGCCGTTGATAATATAAATGCTCAAATAGAACCGTTGCGAGCACAATGCCTTTGGAGTCTCCGACACCAACATGAGTTAACCATTCGTATATTCTTCCTTTCAGGAGCGCAAGCTGTGAAGATCACCGAACTATCGGTGCCTTCCACGGTCCTGAACGGCTCAGTAAACAGCATCGTCCTCGACTGTCTCTACGCCCTTGAATCTCCGAACAACACAGCCTCCGGCCTGGTGGTCAAATGGTACCACAACCGCAGCCCGGCGCCCGTCTACCAGTGGATCCCCGGCTACCCGCCGCAGGCGTTCGGCATCCTCCGGGGTCGGGTCAACCTGGGTCACGTGATCAGCAATGACCCGCAGATGCGTCACCGTGCCATCCAGCTGGTGCACCCTCGTCCGGAGTTGAGCGGCGAGTTCACGTGCAAGGTGTCCACCTGGTCGGGCGTCGACACGGCCACCAAGAGGATGACCATCTACGGTGAGGACGCGCTGACACGCCGGCCCGGCACGGAAGGGGTAAAACTGGTTTGGAAGCACGCACGCTAATATACGATGGGGGCCATTAGACAATCGTGCCATCTTAATTAAGGCAGACTAGCCGGCGCCTAGCGCTGTTCTTTGGTGGCGGGTTTCAGAAACCCGGCTTATTAGCTGGTGTTAAGAACACACAACGGAAATGTTTCTGAATGTGTTCGGTTGATAATTTGAGTCGGTCACGACATTTTCAGCCAGCATCGGTACCTCGAGTGGAAATAGGGATGATGTCATCTAAAGTCGAGCGTTTGACGCTGACCCGACTTTGTTTTCTGCCAACAGCTCCCGTCAAATCGATGAGCATATCGAGCTCCAGACCGAAGGCGCATCACATGACCTTGACCTGTCAGGCCGAGGGCATGTACCCTGAGCCCGAGGTCAGCATCGTACTGCAGCACTCGCACGCCGAAAGGTACGCCACGCTCACGATACTAAAATGGCTGGCCGTATTGTACATACAGCCAGTGATGTGGAAAGGAGGTAAATTACACTCATTTTAATGCCACAGACAACGGTTGAATGTTGGTGGTTTATTACACAGTCAATTATTGTTGTGGCGGTCGAAGACAGCTGTAAACGTCACCATACCAGTTTCCCGGTCAGATTAGTACCAGGCGTTTAAGACGGCACATGAACCAGCGTTTGGGATCGGCTTTATACCGCCTATCAAAAGCTGCATTAAATGTCTTGCTAATACTGTTAAAAACAAGAGAGAGGAACATTGCAGCTCTGGATAATTTGTTAACGATGCATCATAAAACAGCCAAAAGGCGAATAAAACATGGGTGTCAAGATATGCATTTGCCGGCTAAACCTTTAACGTAACATTTATGTGCCTTATTTAGCAATTAAAATGTGAGAAATTACGTGAGCCGCCAACTAACATACTATTTAAAAATAATAACGAATATTAGTTGAATTAGTATCCCATGAACAGTACCCCGAGGCAGGGTGGACCCATTTCTAAATATAATGCACTGCAACTCATTTAAACACAACTGCTCGTTTGCAGCCCGTGTTGCATGAACTCCAGTGTTTACCAATAGCGGATGAGATGAGGGCCCACCCATCCACGCCGTTCGGTTAATTCACGACCGCAGTTTGCAGCTCTGATCTATTGCTTGTTAGCCGCAATTGCAGGTCCGCTGACGCAGTATCAGCTCTGCTATGGCATGATAAAGCACCGGCACCGCCTTCATAAGCTCAGCAAACTCGGATCATAGACTGTGGGCGGTTCGTGTGAAAGACAAGCATCCAATGCCGTTTCTGGGAACCGGTCAAAAAAGACAAGCGGATGCGGATTTTCCTCGTGAACTCGTGTGATTGTGATTTATCTCTCCGGAGCTGCACACTGGCCGAGTCTGAGCAACATCCCCGCCTGTCCCCAGGGAGCGACTGCGTGGTCTTCAGGTCACCAAAACGCTGGTGGACGGCGCCTACAGTGTCAAGGTCACCAAGGACCTGGACGAGCGCGAGGTGCCCGTGCACTGTCTGATCCACTGTGAGCTGATCCTGCCCAACACCGGGTACAAGGTGGCAGAGAAGATACCGCACATCAGAGGTGAGATACCCGATCAGCGCTCAAATCAGCCAGCAGTGACGTAGCAACAATACAGCATGTGGTAAGCTTATATGCTGAAAAATCGGGCATTGATATCTTCAAGTACAACGTCCGGCATTAGAGGACCAGATGACCCGAAAAGCAAAATGTTTTTTTTTCGCATAAGACAATGAAACAAAATTTGCAAAAACAGCAAAGAACCTGGAACTATCAGTGAGTGAATAAAATATGAGTGAATATGTATTGGTCGTTCAATATGTAAGGTAAAATCGCATTTATTTCAGTCCACCTTTGGTGTAACGACATGAAAGTTACAACATATGTTAACTGGAATTTTGTCTACAAAATGGCTATAAGCATTTGGTAGCAGGTCTCATCGGTAAACCACCCCAGCCTTCAGAACTCGCAACTACTTCCAATCACCGTTCAGGCGCACGTGCTTATCTCAGCAATCCACGAAGCACTGAGAACCCGCTCGGAAAACTCCTTATTGATGTTTTTTACCATGTGTTTTCATTCTCTTGATTGCCTCATCCGTAAAAAAGTTATTCCCAAAAACAGAACGTCTTCCGGCGAACCGAGCAGATTGAAGCTGGACGATGCCAGATCAGGGCTATACTCCAGCATTCCTGCGCTCTGGCAGAGCGAATCCGCCCCGGGCCCCCGCACTGATGCCTATAGTCGGGCATCCTTCTGTTGTTGAGTGAACTCTTTCTGTATCCATCTCAGGCAGACCTTGAAATTATTTAACGTATCTGATGATGTCTGTAGCTGATTCGACATAACACTTCACTCCGTAAATGAAATCAGTCACGCAGATGCTTTGGGTTTCCATCATCACCTCGCTGACTTCACGGATTGTGCCAGATCCAGAGGGTCCTGCAAGCATATGGTCTGCCTGCCGTAGTCGCTTACACTGCCGTATCACTACCCACTGCCCACCACTAAGCATTGTTAATGGCCATATGGCGTCATCAGGGTACAATTTGCTGCCGACGCTGGTTTTGAGATGAATTCGAGGCTCACTTGACAAAACGGCACTTCCCAAACGCAACGGTGCTGCATCAATGTCTTCATACCGACCGTGTTCGGACAATTTTTGAAACTCCTAAAAACGGTTAGATACGTTGTGTAGCAAATTTTTCGTAGATTCAGATGACATATTTGATTTTGTTTAACTTGTTAAGGTTAATGAGCTATAGCACATTTAACCTTACTTATTGAACGACCTGGTAATATGCCAATTGAAATTCAGAAGCCCATTGTATGAGACAAACCAAGACATCGGAACAAAACCATTGGAGGCTTGCATGAAACGCACTAAGTCTAAAAGTAGCTGTAGTACCTACACAACAGAATGCGTGAACATCATACATGATTGAGTCGAAACTCTAACCACTTGGTGAAAACACAGCGTAAGAAAACCTATGGCAGCCACCATCGCATGATGTATACGTGATTGGCCGGCGTAATTTAAAGGCTCCAGTTTTTATACAGTCGTCATCAGTAGTTCTGATGTTATCGGCGGCACCCGTCCGGATGAGCGGGAGCGCTAGAGATACACACAATCCATGGGACGAATAAAAACTCACCACAACGCGGCCAGAAAAAGCCACAAATGTGATCAAGATATTGATATATACTGTATTGAGGACAGGCGGTATAGGATGACGAACTGGGCCGCACTCAATCAGTTTGATCGTTGCCTGTATGTCTGGTTTTTGTTGGTCGAAAATGATCGTGATCCATAGCTGACATGATTCTGGTTTGAAATGATCTAGTTAATTAATTTGATGTGAAGTGTCTGTGTCTCTTCCTTCAATAAACACCTAGGATAAATCCGCAATATATGTGACTTAGTCCGCAATTAATGCATCCCATTCTCACGTAGTGCCTAGCATCGTCTGGTGCTGCATTTTTTTTTTGTATCCATGTGATAATGAATTACGTCTGAACGAACGATTCTTATTGTTTCAGGCGCACCTTCGCGATCATCTACTCCGATCTTCAGCAGACAGGAAAAGTTCACAGGTAACGACAAACGTCGCACAATACCTGTTATTGATGAGTAATTCAAATACAGAAGTTTCCTACGCGTTAGTCCTGCCGTTCACTACTGCAGTCTCTGGGGTATTCCCGAATAGTAGGGAAGTTTACCGATAAACTATTAATCCCATCGCGCCTTTGCTAAGATAATGCGTCGTTCTTACACCTATAAAAAGGGCCCAGTCGTTCTGACCTCAAACACTGTGGGAACTTTGCAGCGTTTAAAATGCTTGAGATTATATTGACAATGACTCTTTTTACTTTCAGGTCGGTCACTGCGGAGATTATCAGGTAATTATTGGTCATTTTCCTAAGACTTGGGGTATTTTCCAGTTTTTATCCACTTGCAAACCTATCATGGCTGAATGTTTGGTGAACGGGAAATTTAACATGATGTATTTGTGTATACAACTGTCCAGTAAGCATTGCAATGTTGATGGTACGTACCGCGTTTTTTTTTAATTCAGAAATTGGTAAGACAGGGAGCAAAGTATAAATATGTTTTCGTTCCTTCCAGACTCGCAATCCTCTGAGGGCCACTCCAGAAGCAGCAGCAGTCAGTCATCCGCCTCCTTCGTAGTCGTTCTACTTTGTTTGCTGGTAAGAGCGCACCACCATGGAGTATACGGAAGGGGTAGTAATAAATCATTTCGACAATTTTTCACAGCGCAAAACACTATTATAAAACTCCGTAATTGAAAATAAATGAATATATCCTTGTAATACATACAAGAAACTGTGCGCATTATACAAAATAAAGTTTCAACGATACTGAGAATAATTTAATATTTTTTTAGACGGCTAACAAATATGCTCTTTGTTCCAGACTCTGCGATAAAACGACGGAGCGAATCGCGACTTCTTGGAGGCGATTCAGAACTGCTTCCGCTGCTCAGTGACCCACTGTGACGTCATCAATGTGACGTCATAGTACACAACTAGTCAGAGACTCGAGAGGTCCCAAGTGCCTGTGATTTCAGAGCCTACCCGCGGCTCAGCGCACTGATCGGAGAGTGGTATCAATGATCAAAACGTGTATTACGAATTGTTTACTGTGTGTTGAGTGTGTGAGATTAGTTTCGTGTAGGTTAGAGTGTATGCATATATTGTTGTTGCCAAATATATTACGTGTACCGTCTTGTCAACAGCTTTTGTCGGTAGTAATTTGAACAGTGGGGTGAGATATACGAGAGCTGCGTACTACGCATTGTGGCACATTTCATTCACAGGGAACAGTGAGCGCACCTAATTAACTAGAGAACATGATAAACACAAATGAAATAGCAATGAGCAAAGAACACTATCTTATTCTCCCTTTGAGTTTTGTTTGTATGATATATACTATAGTACATTAAAAAAAACAGCGCGACTTTAAAGACAGAAGGCATTAAAGGGACCCTCCCACCTTAACATTAGATTTGAGTTGAGATAGCCAAAATGGGGTCCCTGGCTCACAATTACCGGTTTCGGCACTCACAACATCGAGAAATGCCTTAAATCGGAAATATTGAATTTCAAAATTGCAGGATTTTGATTCAGAGGGGCTAATGCATAGGAATACCCCTCTGAATGTGTGACGTCAGCGCAAATATCTAACGATTTTTAAATGTTTGACTAAAACGTTTTGTAGCACGCGGTGGTATATGCTATTTGCGCGCAACATCTGCCGCAAACGCCGCACTTCTAAAATAAAGTCGCTAGAAACAGCGGAGATCCCAAAAAAGTAAACAAAAGTAAAAGTCTAATATCTTGAAAACCGGTGAATATTTTTCGGTGAAATTTGGTAGATATTCGTTTTCGCTCTTTCTGAACCGAGTGACATCACTTTCATGCCAATTCATAGACTTTTTTGAAGGTGGGAGGGTCCCTTTAAAGCACGTCGATCCACACGCCGAAAACGGAAGACCTTCATTGTCGCAAACAGTGGCGCGGGAACTTCTTCGAGACGGGGGGGGGGAGGCTGAACCATAACAGAGATCAACGAAAAAAAGGAAAATATTTGCAAAACATTGAGGTATTCCGTCTCAGCTGAGTGAAGAAAGTACCGTTTTGGCGACCTGGAATAATGGTTTTAATCTGCCAAATGAGTTGCCGAGCCAGTGAAAGAGGTGGATTTTTCACTTACATGCTTTCTTCCTTTGTGACCTATACAACCCCTAATTTGGGGAGGACAAGCTGCCCAACGGTTTTTAGCCTCATGACAAGTACTGGGGCACCGCCCCAACGGCCGCAGAGTTTGGGGGCAAGCTTCTCCCACTGCCCCCTCCCCCGGTTCCCGCGCCTATGTATGAATCTATGAAATTATGTTGGTAGATTTCCGATTTCGATTCCTCCAGCTGGGGGGGGGGGGGGTTCAAATACATTATGAGCCCCCCAGCCGAAAAGTTGGAGGGGCTCAGCCCCCGCTAGCCCCCCCCCCCCCCCGGTTCCCGCGCCACTGCACTGGTCGCACATCCGCATGTGTAAAAATCCACAACCGTTGTAAATGGTATCTCGATATTGGTGGATTTTCACTCGCCGCTACATCGCTGACTGTTCTCAATGTACGCCTTTGAAGGATTATGACGTTCCAAGAATAGGAACTCAACCGCAATAAGCAGTAACGCGTCAGCTCGGTCGGGCTCCATGTGCTGTAAATCGATCAGTTGACCTTCACAGAATGTCAATGGTCCGGAAAAACCGCTTTTAACTTTCTTAGGTTGATGTTATGGTCACTTATTTTACAAAACATTAATATCAGGCATGCATTTCTAATTTCGTGTCAAAAATGGCCTACGACATGTTGTGCGGTTAAAGAGCTCCCATTAAAAATACCACAACTAGCCGCTAACTTTCGTTCACTACCTGGTCACAAGCCACAAACTGGCATCTGCCAAATCACAATGTTTCTTTTCATTAGTAGCTGGTGTTGGTAAATTCCAGTAGTTTATTTCATTGAGTATCTATCAAGGGAACGGACTTATACCGACGTCCGACATCGTCGTTCAAGTGCTTCAAGTTTTGAATATTTTTACGTAACTATTTTACGCGAGTACCTACTCAACAACAGAGATGGGACTTTGATAGCCAATATTCGTACCTTACATGCATTCATTTCATGACATAACCACCGGGCTTTTATTCACATTGGCTATTGATCACATGCTATGTCGTCAACAGTCGTTACCAATGCTCTTGAGCTGACGTAGGCATCGCGTGTTGGCCGGTAAGTGGACATACGAATCATTTCCATCAGACGGACAATTAGCTTCTGCCGCTGCTCCGTTTAGGCAGGGACATTCCACCAGAGCGTTTCATCATGACTGTTGCTCTATTATCGCTGCAGCCGTTTTGCAATCACCGCTGTCGGTGCTCTAGTTGCTCTAGTTGATGGCATTAGCTGCCGCCGGATGTTCAAATTGTCTGTCGCAGTGGGGTCACTTATCTTCTGTGGAGTGAGGTCAGTGAGGTCAGTGAGGTCTATCGCAGTGAGGTCACTCATCTTCTGTGGAGATTTAAGACCTAGGTCAAACACTGGTCACTGTAAAATGTATTGCAGGAGCCAAGCCACTGTCAATTACGCACGCGCACGCATTACACAACTTTATACTGTAAAACTTCTAGCATGCTAAACTTCTGCTGGGGACACCCAAACCCACCCCTAATGTTGCAAACAATCGTATAATATCGTCACACTAGTACACCCCGTCACACTAGTCTTACCCCGTCTCTGATGACGTCACATACAGCGGGACAGTGTGACGTCATTATACAGCGCCATAGCGCAGTGTTTTGCTGATGGCTGTATTGTGTACGGCTGCAGCCGCCGGAACCACCCAATTTACCGTGAGACGGTCCTGGACCACGCAACCGCGCCCCGGCCCGCTGAGCGAGATTGTACGTAATCGATGGAAATTACCGCATGGCAATTGCGCTGAGAACACCCTAAAGAGAAGGCTAAAGGCTCATACGATTACATTTATAGGGTTAACTGAGTTTAGACACGCATGAACCATTTCAGCATCATTTCAGAGTAGCAGTCTTGCTTGGGCCAAATAAGGCTTCACTTCAGCAAAAAAAAAAAAAACTGCAAAGCACCATTAAGCATACATTTTAGTCGTTAACATTAAAATAATGTTTTACAGCAATATTCATAGTTCGCAATTGCCTACACATGATTCACAAAAGTTACATATTTGTTAGGTCTGAATAAGACCGAAGCATACATTGCGTTCTTCATTCAATGTTACCACCAAACCACTAATGCTTGCTCAGCAATCAGCATGCAGCATGAATAAAAACAGAATGCTGGGAATAAGACAAGCCATGAGCAGAAATGACCAAACGGAATCACTTACGGCGTCCACTGTCGGTGTCAAGTCTACCCACTTGCCCAACAGACCTATTTGTGGCTAATTATTCACAGATAGTGGTATGGGAATCAAGTCAAGGCGCCTTCCAGGCCGGGGGCGGTAGCGAACGTGGCTACTTCACTGTCCCCGCGCGCAGTGGGCCAATTTCCACAGTGCTTACCAGTGACCTCGGATGACAGCCTTATGCAGGGAGAGTGTGATAATGCAGCTACAGGATAAACGGGAGGCGGACAAAAGGGCTTGTGTGCTGTGACAAAATCTTTGAAGACATTTTCTGTGTGATATGAGAGGGTATTTTAGGCGCAGAAACACATACATATAACAAAATGCGAATACATCATTTATAGAAGTCTAAAAAATAAATACAAACACCTGAAACATGCCTGCAGATCCATCATCAACATTTTTTTTTCAAACACTCAGCAGCTCGTAATTTCGATAGCATCGTTGAAAACACGCCGTTCAAAAGCACGAGCAAATGTAAAGGGGCCGGTGATACTTGATTTAAGAAATGTCATAAATACTACATTTCCGAGCATACGTGACTATAAACCTGTCAGCCGCTGTGTTAGGACAAGCAGAGCTGGTGTAAGCCGCATTCCGTTAGGTTTCAGTGCTTGTAGCCAGCGGGGGACACTAGGACGCTGCCCTCCGCGGAAACCTTCCATCAGCCACCATTAGCCCCTGTTTCACGATTGTTTCATAGTCGGCCTTGGCGGCCGGGCTCTGCCTATCAAGGCCCAGCATTTTACCACCTTCCAACGACAGCTATGAGTTTCTTGACCAAATTGTCTCTCCAAAGTTTAGCCACCTGCTGTCAAATTGTTCTACCCTTGCAAACCTTATCCTTTTCTAGTTTGATCCCAGCCCCACTCGACCTAGCCACCCACCTTTGGCCCCTTCACTGGATGACCCACCGGGTCGGCGCGTCCGTTCCTCCGAGTGGGTGGCTGTCTGAATCCAGCTAATGATTTCATCCTTTGTCTCTGCCTCGGCTCACCGAACATCAACAATACCCGGCGATGACGCACCTACTGGGATCGTGTCCGAGTGGCGACATTGAGATCGCGTCTCCGGCATCCTGAGAGGAATTCGAGGGGGAAGATGACGCTGAAATTAGCGGGAGAAGTCAGAGGATGGGCGGCATTGAGAGTGCTTAGCCATGCGACTGAAGAGGGGAGCGCTCCCGATCACACACTTGCTCGTGTCAGACAGAAGGCTGCACAAGATCCACTTGTAGAGACGTTCATTCATTGTCTCTGCCCCGAAATAAGCACGACTCTTATCAATGATTCTAGGATATCAAGCATCTGGCTACAGCTAGATGTTGCACGACACCGGAGAGCGATACCCATTAGAATCGGTGATATCGATGTCGCACAGGAAACATGTGCTGTTTGTTTGTTGCCTTACTTTATTGTTTCTATAGATCCATAACAGATAAATCCATCAGATTGTATTGCTCTGATTCCCATGACATTCCCATCCCTGTCGTTACTTGAATTCATGTTCTAGCTTCACGGCTGCAAATAACGAGCATGTTTGTCCCAATTATCAATCACGCCTTGCCAATTTCCCTACACCTATTGCTCTGTCTTTTCCGAGTGTTGATGCACATTCACGTCCCGTTTTATTGCCGCTGCACCATCTCGTCGAGTGGCCTGGCTGCTGGCCGCTCGTTTCCCGCTCCGTTCGCCGGAGTGGTCCGAGTTCCGTTTTCCCAGGCTCGCCGGGATGCCGCGGCCGGCGCCCCGGGTCCCGGGAGGTGACAGGTGGCAGGCGGAGA